GAGGAGAGAGAGAGAGAGAGAGAGAGATAGAAAGAGAGAGAATGAACTCCGAATAGAGAGAAAAAAAGAGACGCGGGACAGGAGAGGAGAAAAGAAAATAGAAGAATGAGGAGAGGAGAGAGGGGAGGGAGGAGAAGGAGAGGAGAGAGAGAGAGAGCAAGAGATGGCAAGACGAACTCGAAACTAGAGAAAAGAGAACGAAACAGAGAGAAGAAAGAGAAATATGCGAATGAAGGAAGAGAGATATTACAAACAAACAAAACAAAACCGACTAAACCCACCAAACAACAAACAATCCCATTAGTAAATACCCGAGTAGGCATTTCCAGAAGCGCTCCCCATCCTAAAACAAATCCTCTTTTTCTCGCCCGCAGCGCCCCTGGTGGCTGTCTACGCCGTGAGAGGCCAGACAGCGAGACTCCCCTGCAACCTGACGGCACCTCCCGAAGACCCCGTGATCCTGGTGCTTTGGTACAAGAACGGCACGAAGACGCCGGTGTTCAGGTAAAAGGCTTGTCGCAGGTGATTTCGGGTAATTAGCGCTATTAGTCCGGACCAGTGTGTGTGTATGGTGTGGGGGTGGGGTGGGGTGGGGCGGGAGATCAGTAGGGAGAGGCGGGTGAGGTCGTTATATGAGCGTGGCTTATGTAGAGTGGACACAGGCGGGCGCTCATACGTGCATCTGGGGAGCGTGAGTGAGCTGAGCAGGAAAGTAGCAGACGATGTAAACGAAGAAAGATGAAAAGAAATAAATTAAAAATGAAATTAAACGAGGGTGATGACAACAGTCGTTGAGAGAAAGAGATAGGTGTTAGGAAGTGAGGGGGAAGAGAAGAGAGAGAGAAGATAGAAATAGATAAAGAGAGAGAGAGAAGAGAGAGAGGCATGAGAGAAGAAGAGAGAGACGATGAGAGAGAGAGAGATAGAGAAGGAGAGAGAGAGAGAGAGAAGAGAGAGAGGAGGGGGCAGATAAGGCAGACAGACAGAGAGAGTTCAGATACAGACTGACAGACAGAGACCCAAAGAGACAGAAATTGGAGTTAGAGCCACAGATAGCGATATATCTTAGAAAAAAAAAAAAAAAAAACGAAACAGCAAGGCATAAAAAACATAGACAATGTAAAACAAGCGATAATTAGATACCTCATTCTCAGGTAAATATATTCTCACCAACTACAAACTAACTGGAAATGCTTTGTCGGGAACTCACCTTGAAGACTGAGGGAAACTAACTTGGTTTAACATGGAGATGTTTGTAAATGTTATCGAGCTGTTTTTGTTATAGGGATGTATTTCATGATTAGTGATTTTAGTGTTAATGGTAAAACACAATGATAATGGTTACGATAATAATGGGTAACAGTAATGAGGATAATGATAACAACAAACTACAAATCAGTAGAAGAATGATAATAAGAATAATAACAAAAGTTACAATAGTACAGATAATCATATTTTCCTACCATTATTATTCCTGCTACTACTACTATGAACGATAACAACAATAACAAGAACAATGAATGCAATGCCAATATACCTCATGAAGGCAACATTCATGATCGCAAATAAAGAAATACAGGAATTAATTAAGCGACGAGATCTCTCTGGTTAAGTCTGTGCAATGCTTCTCTCTCACGGCCGGTATCAAGTGACTGGTACAGTTTCACGCGGTAATGAGTCAAGTATGTGGCTTCATGCTTACCTTGTTTGGTATTTCGTATTTTCTGGCGATCAAACTGTATTGTACTCACGGACCCCTTGATCTTTCTTACAGAATATCAGGTGGTTACTGTTGTATTGAAATAATTCATGAATTTATGTAATAAAATATATTTTATGGAATATACTAACTATCCTAATTGTAATATATCAAATTTATTGAAAAAGACAGTATATCTAGATGGTATGGGAAACCTTATTTACCTCAAAGTAGGATTCCCAAGGAGTTAAAAAGGTGTCCGAATGCGTGGATTTCGGTCTCAATCCACGAAATTCTTTAGGAATTATTATCTTTCTGGAGGAAAACTAACTAATCTGAGAAAGGAGGAAACTGGCAACTTTCAACTGAGAAAAGAATACTCCGAAGGAAGTTCTTTTAAGAAAAGAAAAATAAGAAATGAAAAAAATGAAAAAAAAAATAGAAAGTAAAAAAAAAGAAGGAAGTAAGGAAAGAAAAGAATCAATTAAACAGAGAAAAAAAAATAAATGTAAAGAAGAGAAATATGTATATAAACACATGTGTATGTGTGAATAAATAAATGAATGCATATATATATATTTGTGTCTATATTATGATAATATATATTAATATATAAAAACGATATTTTCTTAACTACCAAACGTTAAGTAAACATAAAGTAAGTTATAAGTGCCACCTGATTAGAACAAATCAGGATCTGCGAATTCAGAGTGCGCCAGAGTGAGAGCTGGTGGTTGCAGTTCATTATTTCCGGAGATTAAAAGCACTCCTTTCTCTGGCTTAGCTTCCCCGAGGTTAATGATACGAGTTTTATCAACTTAATTAGAATAACGGCCTAAATGAGTTAAAAGTAATTACAGGATCATTTGTAATAATGATGAAATTATCAGTGGCAATGACGTCATTTATAAAGATGATTTTATTGATAATGATGATGGGGATCCGGTTTAGCGTAACTAACTTCAAGGGCTTTGGCGGTGGTCTTAGTCAGAGAAATTCAGCTTTGACCGAAAAAGACAATAATGATTGTAAGGATACCATCTCTATCTCCATCTTCATCATCATCTTCACCATCATCATTATCATCATCAATCCTCATCATTCTCATCATTATCATAATCCTTCTCATTATCATCATCATCATCATTATCATAATCCTTCTCATTTCCATCATCATCATTATCATTATCATTATCATCATCATCATTATCATCATCATTATCATCATCATCATCAATATCATCATCTAAATCAGTATCATCATCACCATCATCATCACCATCAGTAGGAGCACCAACAATACAACTAATAATGATTATGAAGATAACAATAAAAACAATAATCCTAATAAATCTGAAAACAAAACAACAAAATACCAGTAAAAGAAGGAAAGAAAGAAGACAAAACAATAACCCTAATACATCTAAATTTTTTTTATAGAATACAAATAAAAGAAAGAAAGAAAATTATCCTAATACATCTGAGAAAATACCAATAAAAGAAAGAAAGAATAAAAAAAAAGAAGAAAAGAAAGAAACAAAAAAAAAGAAGAAAGAAGAAACAAAAAAAAGAAGAAAGAAAGAAAGAAACAAAAAAAAGAAAAAGAAAAAAAAAAAAAAAAAAAAAAGAAAAAAAAAGCCCACAAACTGCAAATTCACGCACTCAAAAATTCAACCCCCAATAAACTTATCTCCAAGGATGATAAATGACCCTCGTTGACAGACAGTTCCAGGCTGCACTCCACTACGATTCATATTTATCAGTAAGTGTAAGTGAAAACGAAAATTACTGCTGCTCTCTCGTATTACAATTATTCCTCCGGCAGCGAGACAAGTTTCGCTCTGATAAATGACTTGTTTCAAACATGTTTATCAGCTGTTGGTGATAAAGGGATTCGCGCTTTTCCTTTTGTGACTTTGGGAGTGTCTGGTTGTAATTATGTGTGAATTAAATGTGAATGTGATGTGTTCTTTTTGTGGTATTTGGTTGCTGGTGTGAGTATCATTATTACTATTATTATTATCATAATTGTCATTATCACATCAGTATAAATCAATCATCATCATCTCCATCTTCATCTTCATCTTCATCTTCATCTTCATCTTCATCTTCATCATCTTCATCTTCATCATCTTCATCTTCATCATCTTCATCTTCATCATCTTCATCTTCTCATCATTCTTCATCATTCATCATCTTCATCTTCATCTCTTCATCATCTTCATCATCTTATCTTCATCTTCATCTTCATCATCTTCATCTTCATCATCTTCATCTTCATCTTCATCTTCATCTTCTCATCATCTTCATCTTCATCTTCATCATCTTCATCTTCATCTTCATCTTCATCTATTCATCTTCATCTTCATCATCTATCATCTCATCTTCATCTTCATCTTCATCTCTTCATCTCATTCATCTTCATCTTCATCTTCATCTTCATCTTCATCTTCATCTTCATCTTCATCTTCATCTTCATCTTCATCTTCATCTTCATCTTCATCTTCATCTTATCATTCATTTCATCTTCTATCTTCATCTTCATGCTTCAAATCTCTTCATCTCATCTCTCATCTTCATCATCTTCATTCATCGCATCTCATCTTCATCTTCATCTTCATCATCATCTTCATTCATCATCTTCATCTTCCTTTCATCTCATCAACTCATCTTCATCTTCCTTCATGCATCTTCATCTATCTTCATCTTCAATCTCTTCATCCTTCATCTTCATCTTCATCTTCATCCTTCATCTTCATCTCCATCTCATCTCCATCTCATCTCATCTCCATCTCATCATCTTCATCTCCATCTCCATCTCCATCTCCATCTCCATCTCCATCTCCATCTCCATCTTCAACACATCTTCATCATTTTTCAGAAAGAAAAAAAAAAGTAGTTCCGTGATAAAAAAAGAAAAGAAATATAATATGTATAATAATCATTTAAAAAATGCCCAAAGCATTACATATACTGTATGTACGTATACACACACACACACACACACACCACACATACCATATCTACACATAACACCGCCCTTTGCAAGCCGCAAAGCCCCCTCACGCCAGCCGTCTCTTTCCCCCCTCCAGCGTGGACTCCCGCTCGAGAGCTCTTCAGGAGGGCAGTAACACCCGTGCCTCCGATTTATTTCGAGGGCGAGCCACGTTCCAGCAGCAGCCGTGGAGTTGGGTCTTGGTGGTGCAGCAAGTGGAATACAGCGACCAGGGCGAGTACCGCTGTCGTCTAGATTTCCAGTCTTCGCCCACACACAATGGCAGGGTTCAGCTACATGTTGTTG